CTAATGCTACAGCATTTTGTGTCATTTTGTAAAGCCCCATACTAACCAAATATCAAAGGTCTTTATGCTTGTTTTCCCCTTTTCCTTTTCTGCCTGGAATCTTTAGTCCTCTCTAGTGTCCAGTTTCTGAAATCATAAAGTCTCCAATTTCTGTTTTGACTTAGATAGACAAAACACTCTGGTTCCCATGAAGTGCTGCTTATTTTGTTTAATTATAGTAAATCTTATAGTAAAAGTCTCAATGTTCCAAAGTTGTCTGGACCCTTAATTTGTTTATAACTTTCTTGGATCAAACTCTTATTTAGCTTTTTGCAGTTTATTTCCAAGTCTTTAAATTCTTAAACTTATAATTAATTTTCTTTTGTTCAAGAAGAAAAGTAAGTTCACCAGGTGGCCTTTCAAACTTGTCATTCCGAAGATCTCTAATAGCCTTAGAATAGTAAATAAGCGATTTCCGAAGTGATTAGAAAGTGAGGTTTGCGAACTTTGAAAGGCTCTGCTGTGGCTGTGAACATGATGGCTGATCCCTTCATCTCCTGGCTCTCAGACCTGCAGGAGTTCCTTGTGGGGAGCAGCCATCTGGAGCACATGTGGGTAATCTCCCATCCTCTCCTTATTCAGAGAGTTCCTGCGTCTAATTGCTGGTTCTTTGGTCTTTCCTGCGGTCATCGTCCCTCCCCTCTGTTGGAGACATGCTTAGTTTGCCATTCCTCCACTGGAAGTCCTGCTTTTATTTTCTTCCTGAACTAATTTGGGCAGGGTATATTTCAATGTATTGTAAATAAAACTTTGGGGACAAAAATGTTCTCTTATAAAGCTATGACACTTGTGCAGTTCGTTATTGCTGACAAAATCCTTGCCATTCCTGCATAGGATTTTGAATTCCTCAGGAGGAAAATTGTAAATTCCATTAGGCCACACCTACTCTTATTTGCCAAGTGATATCCTGTAAGTTCCAAAAATCAGGAGTCTGGTAGCACCTTTTCTGACTAACTCTGTTGAAAGGCATAAGCTGCAGCTCAGAAAAGCATATGCCTTTCAATAGAATGTGTTAGTCAAAAAAGGTGCTACCAGACTCTTCCTAATTTTTGGCTACTGTAGAGTAACATGTTGAAGTCTAATTCTAAGAAAAAGGAATACTGAGGTGGTTACACAGCTGCTTTTTCAAAATGCCCTTTCTGAAGGAATGGACGAACCTTCTAGTTTTCTGTTTGTTCTGTCTTTGTCATGGTTATAAAACATCTAGACTAAAGGTAATGTTTGTAGTCAGCCAATTCTCAAAGAATACAGTCATGATTTTAGCCAGGTTCTTCTGTCCTTGAAGCCTATTGTGCTCCATTGTTGTAAAATCCTAACTGTATTTTTTTTAGACCATTCCATTGAAAAAGATTCAGTGTGGTAAATGGTGAAGTGAAAATTGTCAGTTACCCTCATTGTAAGTACTGTATCTTCCTTGCCACAATAGCTAGCCTCTCATTTTCTGCAGTCTTTAATACTCTACAGTAATGCCATAGTTGTGACATTTAGACCTAATTTAGATGTAAAATACAACTATATGAATTAAGCTGGCACAGTTTCTTGTAACATCCAAACTATGACTGAAATAGTTGTTCCTGGCCTGGGCTTGTTTAAACCATAGTTTAAATTGAATACAGTCCACTAGTTTAAGAGCAACTTAATGCATAATAAGAAACTGACCAGAGTTGCTGGGAGTTGGACAGGATATAAGTTTAAAAAAAAATTATTATTGAACTGTAGTTAGTTTAGAGCAGAGCAGTTTCCAGTTTTCTTGTAGGTTGTCAGGTTATTCTGTTGTATTAACAATTGTATATTGTATTAACAATCTTCCATTTCTCCATGCAATTAATTAGTGAGATTAAACAGCAAGTTCAAAGAGAGACAGAACATCTATATCCAGATTCCCTCATCCAGTGCCAAGAATAAAAGTACCATATCAGGTCGGTCCATTCCAGGAGTGTCTGCAGGGACGCAAATAAAGAATGGGTGGAGCTTCAGTCACATTGTCATGGCCGCCATTTTACATTTTGACTACACCCTGCAGACACTCCTGGTCCATTCTATAATTCAAGATCAGGAAAGTGAGGTCTCAGTAAACAACCATATTGACCTCGAATAATTCAACAAAGTGTATTCATTAAGCCAGAGGGGGTGATCAAATTTGAATTTTTGTGATATTTCAAAATGAATATCAGCAAAAAGTATACACAGAAGCCTAAGGATTAAGCAAGGAGAGCTGGATCTCACCCACATTCCGTTTCTCTGTGTAATGCTGTTTTTATTCTCCAGAATGTTTGCGAAGGAATGCTGGCACTTTAATAAAGGCTGTCATATTTGCCCCAAATACTGCTTGCATTGCTTCCATAATACTATCTAGGGTATTCTGAGATGTTAAAAATGGTAGCTGATAAAAACAAAGAACTAAGGGAAGTGCTAATGACTTTACCATTATCCTCAAAAGGGAAGGAAAGGAGAGGACCACTCTTCCCTTGTCATCAACCACTTCTCCTAAGTTTACGCTGTCAGTGTGTATCCATCAGTGGCACTTCTCACAAACTTCTGTGCAATTGTGCAATTTTTTCCCCCTAACAAATTGAAAATCAGATTAGCTGCTCTGTTCCCTGATACAAGTGTCTTTGCCTTGGAATTGCCTGTGTCTCAACACAGTGTTGAGTTATGTAAAATAGCACACTGTGTAATGAATTTGAAATTAATTCAGGATGCTTTCCTCACCTCAAACTCTGCTGTAGTTTGATTGCCACAGCAGCCTGTTTGAAGAGTCAGTGATTTACTCCTTTTTGCCTTGAAGGAGCACAAGCCCAGATAACCTAATTACTCATACTACCACCCAGTTGAACCTTGATAACTTCCTGATAGTAAAAAGCTGGAGACATAGGAAATCCTTTGTGGCTTTTATTTCAGTAAAATATCCCTAGAGGTTTGCTTCCAGACAAAGGCAGTTCAGGCTCTTTCATAGGCCAGTTGCTTTTAAAATGTGGTCTCCTTCAAGTCAAGTTTGACTTCTGCTGAGTTCCATCTAGATTTCTTAGCAACTGAGTTTGGAGTTGAAATTGAAACTGTGTGTCCTGAGTATTGACTCAAATATATATATATTAGATGTATTGACATAGAGCTATTTACTATTCATTAAAGGATAATTACCATAAATATAAATCTCTAATGCATTATCTCAGTGGAACTTTATTTTAATACAACTGGGAACTTGCAGTCAAATTTAGATTAGAAGAAATGAATTACATTCTTGGGGGTGGGAGAGAGAATGAAAGCCCTACTTCTTCAGTTGCTGTATATGCACTGCACTATTTTCTCATTTTATAGCCATATATTACTTGCATACTTGTGGGTTATCAGGATACTTGAGTATGCGAACACTCAAGATTTATGCTTCTAAAGATCCTACTCGGTAATATGCAATTAATAATGCTGAAGAAATAGCAATTGCTATTCAGTTCTTGGGTTTCTTCCTATTGATTGCTGTTTCCAGGAGCAATTTTCCATATCATTGCTGGCTGATAGGAACTTACATATTTTATTGTTGTAATGGAAATAAAACAATAGATGTCCAAAGTAGTGTCATTTTTTCAAGATCAAAGTTATGAGATTATTTCCTGATTTTCTGTTAAAGCTTGTGCTTCATATTTCCTTAAAAAAGGAAGCATATAGCATCAAAATCATACCAAGATGAATACAGAAATAAAAATAAAAAAGAGAATCATCTAGTAATAAAATATTACAATAGCTGAGCACTAATTGGAAAAAAAAAAAGATATACAAATATGCAATTTTATCAAATTCCCTACAGTATAAACATACCAACTGAAAGAAGATAATAGTATGTAGCATATACCTCTGTGTGTGTGTGTGTGTGCGTGTGTGTGTGTTTATCCCCCGCTCTTCAAAATTGGTATCCCACATACTGGGACTGGACTGCCTATCATTAAACACAGCCATCTAACCAACAGTGATTGATAGCAAAAAAGGAGGGCTGGATTGTCACATGGCTCTAACCAGGCATGTTCTCTCATCAGGTGCCTGAACTTAAGTCAGAATGATCTAATTGTATATCTTGGAAATGCCAAAGATTCTTAAGAATGTATCAGTGCTAATGACCAAGCAAAAAGCTAATCAAACATACTGGCTGTGTTTGCACAAACTACTCAACCCCATTTTAGCTTGGTCTGTGTTGTGGGAACTCTGCCTGTGTATTCAGTGTGTCATGCAAACCCAGGAAACTGAAGAAATTATAGTTTGTTTAATCATCGGTAAACATATTGTGCAGACATAGCCGTCAGTGCTATTCATCAGTCATGTAAGTATGGTAAACTGCTGAGAATCATTTTTGTTGAAACTTAAGTTGCATAAACACAGTCAATGAATAAATAAAGTACATAGTGCTATAGAAGCTTAGCAGCAATTAAAACACACCTCCCAAGTTAAACGTTTGTGATGTTTCTGAAGAAGCTGAAAAGTTTTTAATCCTATTGGGAAGAAATGGATTCAGATGCATGCAGTGGAGCAGAATCAATCCTCGGGCTGACCACTGAGCTGTAGTATAGCTGAGCGCAGGGGAACGGAGCATGTCTTTTCCCTTCATGAATGGTTAACCCAGTGCTCAGCTCTGGCCTCCTGCAAATAGATAGGAAAACTATGAAACAAAATATGAGCCGCATCACCTATTCTTATACGCATGTTCTGTCTTTCTTTTCCTTACCTTGCCTTACAAGTATATGGAATTTGCAGCTACTCTTGGTGCTTTCTTTTAAATAAATCTGTTGTTATGGAGCCTGCTTCACTTGAATCAGTTATTTTTAATGATACTGGGAAAAAGAGAAAGAGGAGGTTAAAATGCAGAGAGAGCAACAGTGTTGATTGTTATTGACTACGCTTGTATTAGTAAAATATATTACATCTGAACTGTAATTATCTGCCCCTAAAATGAGGTTTCTGTTTCAATCTGACAGTGTCCAAAAAACACGGCAAGCTTATTACTTTCTTGCGAACATTCATGAAGTCTCGACCAACAAAGCAGAAACTGAAACAACGTGGGATCTTAAAGGAGAGGGTGTTTGGCTGTGATCTTGGAGAACATCTTCTCAACTCTGGCCATGATGGTAAGGAGAAACATGTATAATAGTTTATTTAAAAGAACCTGAAATTAAATTCTGAACAAAAATAGGATTTAACTATAACTAGTATTATGTGCTGCATTAGAATATTCCATCTCCAGTACCTAAATCTACATCTTGATGTTTATTAACGAAGAGTCAATAAACGTCTTACAGCATTTAGAGTGATATCCAATTAGCGCTTCAGTTGTCTGATGGAAAATTTCTTCTGCCCTGGCCATTTTATCCACATCTTCTCCAGGGGCGGGAGTGAGGGAAGGAGGAGAGGAAAAAGAAATTCTTGCATGAGTGAAACTTTGCATATACATAATTAGCTATAAGCATAGATGCCCAAGATTTCCATTCAATTGATAGGTCATATCTGAAATAGTTACATCATTACATCTAGCATTTGTCTAACATCACAATTTTGTGTACTATATAGTGAATCCATCCTGCTTATAATTTTGTATTTTGACATCAGAAAATAGTTTACTATTTTCATAGTGTTTATTTAGAAAAGAACCAGGTCTTTCAGTTTTTCCAGAAGCTACAGATATCAGGAAATCTAGTTTAATAGAATGTTTCAGTGTCTCTAATCAAACTGTCTCATCTTGTTCCCCCTCCCTCTTTAATTTTTGTCATTACTAGAAAAAAAATACCTTAACATAAATAATGCCCTAAGCAACTAGATGCATCATGTGTCAGAATGCATGTTATTGTATCTTCCAGCTTGTGTCTTACGATAAAGACCTTCGTATACATCATATACAAATGTGAGATGGGCAGCTATACAAATTAAATGAATGAATTAATAAATAAATAGCAATAATTCACTTTCATTATACTTTGGCATTTGTATGAATAAGGAATCTGGAGCTATAGAAGAACATAATTTCTCAGAAGGGGGGGTTGCCCTTTCCAAAATTTGTCCAGTTGGGTTTCGAGTGTGGCTTCAGCTGAGACTTCAGGGCAGTGGTGTGGTGATTGTCATCAGGGAATCTCTTACAGCTTTCAGGGGCGCTGCCCCACAAGTCACCATATGTGAGACTCTGTTCATTAAGTTGGGCTGTAGGAATCGGTTGGGATTGTTGCTGTTGTATCAGCCTCCCTGCTGCATAACAACCTCCTTGCCTGAGCTCCTTGGCTCCATTTCTGGGTTGGCAGTGGAGTTCCCCAGACTTATGGCTCTGGGGGATTTCAGTCTACCTTCCCTAGGAATGGGGTCTGAGGTGGCTTAGGAGTTCATTGTTTCCATGACAGCCATGGGGTCTATCCCAGGTCATCCAGAGCCTGAATCAGGAGAGAGGTCACACTCAAATCTGGTGTTCCTATCAGAGCAGTGGCAGTGTGATCTGAAATTGGGGGAGCTTTCAGTGTCCCTCTTGTCATAGTTAAATCATGCCCAGATTTCTGTGGGATTTTCCAGTGCCTCTATCCACTGCAGGGAGCCTGGACCCATTAGATTGGACCAGTGCAGGGAGCTGGACCCATCAGATCTGTCCTGGTGACTGATGGACCCGGGTGGGTTTCAGAGGGAGCTTGGGGTTGTCCCTGTTGGTCTGCTGCGTGATCCATCCGAAGTCTTGGTTGCCGCTTGGAATAAGGGAGAGGCTGAGGCCTTGGATTGGATTGGATTGGATTGGATTGGATCACACCTATGTGACCTCTCCACTCTTAGGGATCCTGTCACTCCCTGTGGTTTATGGAGGAATTGAGGGAGATGAAGCAGGAAAAGAGATGTTTAGAGTGTCACTGGCACTCAACAAGGGATGAATTTGACCCAACACAGGTTAGTTGTCAGGCCCAGCCCAAGAACAATGAGGCAGTCCAGCCTGGTATAGTTCCTTTATTAGCTTACACTTAACAGACAGAATCTCGCCAGACTCAACCTATGCTAAAGCAGCTATGCCCTGTGAGACTCTAGGGAGGGGCCAGTCTCAGCTTCTTCACCTTCTCAGGGTCCTGCTGCGGTCTGAGGAAGCACTTGCTCTGTAACCCCTCCAGGAATGCTCTCCTGCCCTCCTGATAACCTTGATCCTCCATTCCAGTATCCTCCTCGCACATGCCTTCCATTACATTAGAGCACAAGGCCTACCTTGTGGCGGTAAGGACAGCGAAGCACCAGTAGTTCTCTGCCCTTATTGCAACTGCAGATTGCCACCCCACAGCCCTGTTTTGGGTAACACGAGCCCTCTTGGGTAAAGGGGGTGTGGGGAACCTCTTACAGGGGCATGTGGAGGAATTTGTGCAGCATCTGTTGGATAAAGTCTCTTGGATTCATTCCCAGTTGGACACTGGCCTTGTTGCAGGTCCAGAGGAGATGTCTGGGGAGGAGTCTTGCCCAGTTATCTGAGAACAGTTTAAACCTTTTGGATCTGAGAAAGTGGACAGGGTCCTCAGGACTGTGAGCTTGGCCACCTGCTCTTTAGTTCCATGCCTCTCCTGGCTTGTTAAAGCAGCCCGGCAGGTGTCATGTGAGTGGGTTCTAATAGTGGTTAATTCTTCTTTGAGTGAGGGGTTGTTCCTTTACTTCTTAAAGAGGACTTCGTTTGCCCCCTCCTCAAGAAGCCATCATTGGACCCCACCATTCTAGACAGTTTTCATCCAGTATCTCACCTCCCTTTCTTGGGGAAGGTGGTACAGAAGGTGGTTGCTCAACAGCTTCAGAGAGCCTTGGAGGAAGCAGATTATCTGGATCCTTTTCAGTCAGGATTCAGACTGCGTATGGGATGGAAATGGCATTGGTCACATTTTGGATGATCTTTGGTGTGAGCGGGATGGGAGTTGTGCATCCATCTTTGTCCTACTTGACCTCTCAGTGGCTTTTGATACCATCAGCCATGGTATCCTTCTGGATAGGCTGAGAGGATTGGAGGTGACCAGCATGGTGTTGTGCTGGTTTGCCTCCTTTCTTTGGGGTCGATTCCAGTCGGTGATGATTGGGGAGGAAAGATTCCACCCTTGGCCCCTACTATGTGGGGTGCTGCAGGGTTTGGTACTCTCTCCTCTCTTCTTTAACATCTACATGAGGCCACTGGGTGAGCTCATCCATTGCCATGGAGTGAGGTATCAACAATATACTGATGATACCCAATTACATATCTCTGCCCCTGGTGAATTAAGTGATGCCATGAATGTCTTATCCTGGAGGCTGTGAGGGAACAACAGGCTTCAGCTGAACCCTGGCAAGACTGAGTGGCTCTGAGTTTTGGGGCCCACTGTTTCCAGGACTATGCCATCTTTGGTGCTAGATGGGGTTGCACTCCCCCAAACAGACCCGGGGGGGTCCTCCTGGGGGTGGTCCTAGATTTACGACTCCTGCTCAATGAGCAGGTGGTAATCGTGGTTAGGAGGGCCTTTGCACAGCTTTGTCCTGTTCGCCTGGATCAGCAGGCCCTGCTTATAGTCACTCATGCCCTAGTCACCTCCAGATTGGACTACTGTAATGTACTCTACATGGAACTGCCCTTGAAGAGTATCCAGAAGCTTCAGCTGGTAGAGAATACAGTGGCACGGACAATTATGTGCGCTCCTAAAACAGTGGATGTTACACCTCCGCTCCGCAAGCTACATTGGTTGCCAGTTTGCTTCCGGGTCCAATTCAAGGTGCTGGTTTTAACCTTTAAAGCCCTTCATGGCATGGGACTGGGTTATCTGAGGGACCAGCTCTCCCCGATTACATCAGCCCACCCCATTACATCTGACAGAGAAGGCATGCTGCAGGTACCATCAGCTAGGGACCTACATTTGGTGGGTCCCAGATGATGGGTCTTCTCTGCCGTGGCACCCGCCTTATGGAACATCCCCCCCCCCCCCCCCCAAATTAGATCAGCTGCATCCCTTTTGACATTCCGAAAGTCCCTTAAAACTTGGTTATGTCATGCTTAGATGGCTCCGTTACTGAAGTGGCTGTTCTTAGCCTAGGGTTTGTATATTTTGTTTTTATATTATTTATCTTTTAATATTGGTGCTTATATTTTTATACTGAGTGTTTTATATATGTGTTGTTTTATTGGATTGTTGTATGTCACCCAGAGTCACTTTTTGTTAGATGGGTGACCATACAAATTTGATAAATAAATAAATAAATAAATAAAATATATAATTAAAAGAGTAAGAGGAACTAAACAATTATCTTATTCAAAGTGCTGTGCTGTGGAAGAATCCTTAGTCTCTAGTATAGGATTAGAGCATCATGTGCAATTTGTTATTCAGTCTGATTCAGAATAATGGTTATTCACCTCAGGAGGATAAGGAGCAGGGTAATTCTCTGTAACGTTCCATATCTATAAGAGAGTATCATCTGCTTGGAATATCAATTTTATGTGAAGAAGGGTGGCTCTCTACTAATCAACCTATTTCCCAAGTCAGACCTTACCAAAACATTCCTTGGAGTGTGTGCTGGTCTAGTGGTAGTGAATGAAACCTCAGGGAAGAAATACAATTCAGGCAAACCAATCTTGTGAGTTGTTGCTTAAGATGTGTTTTCAGTAATGTCTTGATGGTACTGTTATTCTTTGTTGTTTCTTCCCTTCTTCTAAGTACAACGTTCCTTCCTTAGACTTTATTTCGTCCCATGGACATTTTGTCTCACGGCATCACCCTAGATTTAAGGCTTATGCAATTAACATACTACATTTTTGCTTAATGATGTAATGCCCCAGGAGGCTCTAAGATGGGTTTAATATTCCTCGTGCCTTTCTTGTGGCTCAGAGCCTGCTTACATTCCACGGGTACTTTAAGTGCTTGATTGGATGAACACCTGCACTATGATAGCTGCTGAAATCCACAAAGGTGTTTTGGTTGACTCTTAAATGAAAGGCCATTTCCTGTAGTTCAGCTTGGACATAACAATAAGGAAAGGAGCTAGGTTGTTGGAGTATTTTAAACACTTTTGTTTGGCTCCTCCTGCCACCTGAAGCAATTAAGCAGACTGAACCATCTACCCATAGATTGCTTAATATTATGCCTGAACAGGGAATTTAACTATTTCCTTTCTGAAG